ACCTGAAACTTGATATCTGAAAGTGAAATACGCCCCATATAATATGAGGCAGTAGTCAGCAATTGGCCATAAAAGATATGAGATGACAAAATACACGCGCAGTTGACATCTTCACCACTCTGCACCAACTCCATCATCCTGCCCAAGAATAATTTTGTCAACTGAAAATTTCCTCACCCTAAGAGTTTTCACTTGCAGAAGAATGAAACAGTTGGAGACCTAATTTTATCTGCAGGCCTGAGATCAAAAGTTCCTGTTTGAACTTTTTAATGACCTAAACTAATATAACAAGTGACTAGGTCATTGCCATTGTTTGTTGTGATATGTTAAGTATAAGACTTGAACCTACTAAGAGACCGACCATAATTCAGTAGACCACAGCAATGAGAAATTGGTAAGAGTTAATCTGATAAATGTAACTCTTGACAACTAAGCAAGAGTCTTTTGTCTGTTCCAAAAGTCGCTTCTTTTACTTGTAACTTGCCCACTTTACTCCTGACTGTGTTTTTAACCAGTTTCACTTAAAGCTTCCTCAGATCAAAAACTTAAACACAATGTTAAGATCAGTTACTAGAGTGAGATGCTTAGGCTAGCTCCTAGGCCTATCAGAGTTGAAAGGGCCTTCTGCTCGACATTTTTCTTTTTCTCTTTTTTTTTCTTTTCTTTTTTTTTTCTTTTTTAATTGAGTTTGCTCCAAGTAAGGCAGTAAAGACACTGAGATGCAAGGAGTTACTGGAAGTGGAAGAGTTATAAACAGAATCATTGCTAAGGAGTGAGAACAGAAAGAGCAATTAGGAGAATAACAGATAGTGATTGACATTGCATTTAAATTTTTGCAGATTAAAGTTGGCTGGAAAGCATGGAGACAGTAGGGAGTTCTACAAGCAAGAAGCTGTTAGCATAGAATTTGCAGTTACATTTAGCCAGCTGAACTGCAAATTGGTGAGACCTTGTCACCAGTCTAGTACTGTGCTTAAATCTGAAGAGTCTACACTCTATAGTGAAGAGCTCATCTGAACAATTACCATTAAAAGTATTTATAGAAAAATGTTCTCATTGATCCACTACTCTATTTCCTTTATGAATTGTCCCCCCACTTACTAAATTCTCATAAGTCTACCATATTTTTCACCACAGGACTCTGTTCAAAAGTCCTAACAGTCTCTACTATTTGGCTGCAAACCCACAGCACAGCTTGCTCTTCCAAACTTGGTTCCATCTTCTTCATTTATAATACTCACCCACAACAATTATGTCCATCCCTATCTCCACAACAGCCATAATTAGCTTGATATCTAATTGTATCCCATGCACAATCATCTCTGCATCTTGCCTCCTCCCCAGTGACTATGCTTCTTCTACTTATCCCACTCTGCCTACCCACCAACATAGGAGTTGGCAGTGTTATGTAGCCGATATCAGCTATAGGCTTTTGCCTTCCTTCCAGGACATTCACTGATGACAATGTATATAAGAGTACCTTTATCAGGTCAAAGGGGTAGCTATATTCTGACTTTTTTCCTGATTGCATTTCTAAGTTAGGTATCAACATGTCCTATTCTAAATATGATGGTATGAGGCTGGTAAGTTCATAGCTGTAGATAGGTTTACCTATCACCTCGTTCACATGCCTCCCTGGTTTTTTTGAACAGGAATAGAGGTTTATCTCTTGTTTCCTGTTTAGGACTGGGTTTCCACAAGCCAACTTTTTCTCCTTTTTTTTTTTTTTTTTTTTTTTTTTTAACCCATGTATCCATGTCTCCCTTGCTATGAAACAGCTTTATCATTTCTCTGCTTATTCTGATCATCTTTGATATTGTATCACTTTTTTGTCAAAATAGTTTGATTTTAAACAGTGAAAATAAAAAGAAAAAAGTGGTTTCTTACTTTCTCAAGGAACATGACAAGTATAGCAGGCACTCACAAACGGAACAAAAGCAATTTACTTGAACTCGAATAAGGAAACTCTTGTGCACAAAAATACAATCAGTTCAATCCAATAGCAACCAAGAAAAAAGAAACAAAGTACCTAAGCTTTTTTTAATTTCATCTTGTATCCCTTTTTCTTGACCTATCCCATCTCCCTCTGCTTTTTCTTCTCACCCCCATGAATGCACTACACTCATCACATTGCTCATTCTCTTATCTGGAAACATGAGAATAATCCTAAAGAAATAGAAAACCAATGTAAAATACTTTTCAGTTTTTTCTTTCTTATACAAGAATTCTAAGTGTTCTTTGCTTACTTTGATATATGTTGATTTGGACTAATGAGTTTAGGGATTTGTTTAAATCGTCACTTTGGTATGGAACTGAGTCTTTTACTCTTCCCCAGTCTTATGAACAGGAGTAGAGATATAACAGTGTGCTGGAGGTGTAATCAGCTCTTTGTCTCGTCATTCCATTATAACCGTTCAAATACAACCAGGTAGGTTTGGTAATTTGTCAATATCATCTAACTGTCATACCCAGGAACAAGTACCAACAAATCTGGTAGATTTCTCTGTTCCACTTCACTTAAACAGAGATTAAGCCTTTCCAGCTTCACCTGTCTGGTTGACTGTGATTGTCAGTAGCTGGACCCAAATTCTGTCATGTCCCTGCAGAAAATCAATGAAATCAATCTCCCGCAGTGTGTCATAACCCTTCACTTTTGGATGTTGGTTACAGTTGAGTGTTGGTGGTCAGTTTGAGGGGGAGGAATGTTCTTTGATAAATTAACTAAAAACATTCTATAAACTTAACAGAATTTAATGTGAAGGAAAAAAAAAACTAGTCTACAGAATTTAACTTCTATGAAATGACATGTGACAGTTGTCTCTGTTCACAATTTCTGTATGTTCAGTGAAATGTGAGTGTGTTATGGAATCCAGCTCATTTGCTCCCCTCACAGAAAATGACTGCCAAGAAAAATGTGTACTTGCTTATATGGGGAAGTCTCTCCATACCACTGATCCACCCCCTTGCTGATAACAATAATTAATAACTTTACTTTACCTAGCCAGACTTTAGAATATAATTTACAATGTCCATAGATACAGATTCCCTTAAATTAACAAAATGGCTTTCTTACTGGTGAAGGATTCCTCACCAGAAATCAAAATAATTCTAAAAATTACATCTGATCATTGCAGAAAAGAGACATCTGCTTTCTCTCTAGTCCACAGCTTTCAAACCTTGTACTAACCCTTATCAAACACTGTTACCACCCAGGTGGAGTTCATAAAAAAAAAAAATAAAAAACCTATACAAGTGCCATCTATCAGTGCATCAATCCTATTATAGCTAAAAGTTATCTGTTCTTGAAAAAAAAAACCGTTAATCCTACTTTATCAGCCATCAACATAACTTCTCATTTCCTTCTTGTAAGTTCTGGTCCAGGGTTCATGCCCTCCTGAAGCCAGCCTTCTCATTCTCTTTCATTCCCAGCAGCCTCTTGTATCTTGGTAGCATTATCACCTTGCTTGGAATGACTTGATTAAATAAAAATTAAAAAATCCCAGATTTCATATATGCAGGTTAAAAAGTTTTTTAAATGCCTCTGTGGATGGGCAAATACACCTTTTTCACTCACTTTTTGACCTCTCCCATATATATATATATATATATATATATATATATATATATATACACACACACACACTTGGAAAGATAGTGAGATGTAAGCTGATAGATAATTCCATTTTTTTAATAGGTGCCAGTCTATTTTTAGATGATGCAATTCTGGTTAACCTTCTTGGCTGACATGAAATGGAAAGACTACATTGAATCCATTGCTAGGTTGGCTGCTAAGAAAGTTTGCTCACTATATCATGCTAGACAATATGATCCTATGCTCCTGTTGTATATTTGGTGATTCTTGATAAAATCCAAAAGAGAATCAGCAATATTATTGGTCCTGACCTGACATCTCAGCTTCAATTGCTTCTCACTGCCATAAAGTTGCTTCCCTGTGCTTTTTCTATAAATACTTTCATGGTAATTGTTCAGATGAGCTCTTTGCTTACACTTTGTGAATTTAAGTGCAGTACTAGATTGGCAACAAGGTCTTATCAATTTATAGTTGAATTGGCAGCTAGATGTAACAGTAAGTTCTATGTTAAGTTTCTTGCACTTCTTGTTTGTAGAGCTCTCTTTCTGGCCAACTTTGATATTCAAAAATTTAAGTGCAATATCAGCCATTATCTGTGGTTTTCCTGATTACTCTTCTCTTGTTCTTGCTCCTTAATAATGTTTCTTTTTTCTAATTCTGTCACATGCAGTAACCCTCGCTTCTGTTTTAGTGGCTTTATTGCCTTTATTGTGGTAAATTTGTTTGAAAAAACAAAACAAAAAAAATTAAACTATTAAGATCTAAATAAGTAGTAGTTAAAATTCATTAAGCAACAGCAGTAACAAACTTTTTTTCTTTTTTCAGTAGAAGTTGATAGGTTTGCCTATTGCCCGGTTCACACTCCTTTCCTGTATTGAACAAGAACAGTTTAATTCCTTGTTTCCTATTTAGGATTGGGTTCCCAGTTATTTCCAAAGTCTTATTCTGTTTCACACCCAGTAATCCCTTGTGTCTTAGTGGCGTTATTGCCTTGCTTGGGGTAAAATTATTTAAAAGAAAGAAAAAAAAAAAGCAATATAATTCTCATGAATTTCCCCCCCACCCCCACATGCTATACTAGTGGCTTAATAAATTTAAAATATTATTAAACATTGTACAAAACAAAAACTATTGTTTAATTCTATATTTGGCACTAGAAATTATTTTCTGCTATTTTAGGGACTTAAAAAAATACCTGAGAATTTTTTGTGTCTGTATTCTTAAATTGAAATAAGATTTTTTTTATTTTATTTTATTTTTTTTTTTGTGCAGACATTGGCAAACAGAAGATATTGTCTTAGCTTCTTCAAATTGTTTATTATTTGTACCCATTTCTTAACAGCTCTCTTCATTACAATATTGCTTTATTTATTCATTTTTAAAAATTTCCCTTCATTTTTTTTTCCAGACCAAAAGATGCAATTCGTGCCATCAAGAAAAAACTGCAACAAAATGCTGGTAAAAACTACTCAGCAGTTATGTACACCCTGATTGTAAGTTGAAATACTTTTTGACGTTATATTTTTTTTTTTTTGCATCTCCATTTCTCTCTGTCTTTAATATATATGCATGTTTATAGCTCTCTTTCTCTCTCACAAGTATAGGATTGGTGTATATGGAATAAATTCCAATAACCAAAAAATACTATCCTTAAAAGAGTGCTTAATACAGAGTAAAGCAAATATAATTTATTCGAAAATTATAACAAATATGTTATAAAATCACTACAAACTAGTCATTTTGTTTTATAACATTTATATTATAATTTTCAAATAAATTATATAATGATTGTTAAATTGTTGCCATTTAAATTTTTAATTTCATGCATGCACATTGTTTTATTATTTTGTCACTTGCTCATTACAGTAGAGTCAGTTGGGCATGGTCTGTGAGATAAAGTGCATCATGACACAATTAACTCCAACAAAAATCTGGAAACGGCATTCTGTACTCCTTGGCATTCATGCTGGAAGCTCAATATAAACATTTCAGTGTTTGGGTGTCAATTTCAGAATAGTGCAGAAAGAGTTGCACAAGTCTAATACTGATTACAAAGGTGTTTGGAGTGATCACTTGTGATGGTGATGTTATGCCTCCATTCATCTTCCCACAGAGCCTCAGACTCAACATGGACGCCTACATCAAATGACTTGAAGAGGTAGTGTTGCCTTGGGTCAAGTGGATTGCTGATGGAAGACCCTATGTTTGGCAACAGGACACTGCACCATGCAGAACAACACAGTCATAGCTATCAGGTAATTTCTGTGACCCCATCACCCCTTACATCTAGCCACCTAACTCCCTAGACTGCAGTGCAGCCCCCTTGATTATTATATGTGTAGGGCATAGTTGACCAAGAGACCAGCAAAACTCCTTATAACACCAAAAATGAACTGCAGACAAGGATTATGCTAATATCACCAACTTAAACAAGGAGACCATCCAAAAGAGTTGCAGGAGATCCTGATCTCATCTGGAGGCTGTGGTTGAACCCAATGGTGACTTTTTATTGAATAAAATTACTCTAGTATTTCATATTTTTGTGTTATTTTGGTAAATATACCTGTTAAAGAGATGTCAGTGTTTTCATTTTTGCATAATTTAGATTCTCTTGAGGTTAATTTGTCATTTATCAAAAGTTAGTACAATTCATACATATACTGGTTATATCAAGAACAGAAAAAATACAAAAATGAACATAAGGTACACAGTAGTAGATTATAATGAAGTACTATACATCATGCAATATAAAAGGAAAAACTTGAAATACTTTATTATATGCAAGAAATGACCCACATTAAATGAAATATCTTTTGTCACAGGAAATGGTATCTTAAAGTGTGTTCAAAATATTTAAAATGTCTATAAAATACACATAAAATATTTATATGCTTATTTCTGTTCTATACGATGTTACTTATGTGAGATGTTTGAATTTGAAATATGTTCCGAAAAATACCAGAATGTAGCCAACAGCTATTGTCTATGATACTAATAACATTTAGTTTCTGATGATATGAAATGGTCAAATGTAATCCATCAAAAATCAGAACAAACATGAGATTATCCACAATTTTCCTCCAGGTGAGCAACATCTTTTTCAAAAATTGAGAAAATACAAAAAAAAATTCAACCAACAGACTGATTGAATTTTTTACAACTTGTTTAAATGAATACTTGCTGTCTCTCTAACACACACACACACACACACCACCTTTTAGCAGCTTTAAATAACCCATATGGGTGGATATGCTACTGAACAAAATCTAAGTAACCAATCACCCATTCATACCTGCTGTAGGATGACGATGAACCAACATGTACAATATGCCAAGCTGCATTGCTGGTGAAACACATTTTAACTGAATGTACTCACTTAGCTCCTGTAAGGCATAAATATTACAAGAAAAACCTAAGAAAACTATCTGAAAATAACAAAACCATCAAAATAATGTCCTACTTTAAAGAAATAGGTTTATACCAAAACATATCTATAACAATCTACAAACTATATATCTACAAAATGCACATTTATTCTGAAAGTATAAAATTATGTACAAAATATAATTAGTTGAAGCCATTAAATTCAAGATATCAAGAGGTCAATATACCACTAAACAATATCAACCAAACCTTGAATTTTTTTTTTTTTTTTTTTTTTGCATTCAGATTTTTAAAAATCTGAAGAATTTAGAACAGATTAAAATTATTACAATCCTTCCTTAATCAGTTTCAACATTGTTTGGGAATTAACAATCTGATATGCATTACTCTCAAATTCTTTATTACATAACTCAGAAAAATAGATATATTCTATTACCTTTTTTTTCTCAAAAGTGTCTGCTTAAACTGGATTTATTTTTCTTTAAATAAATTAATGCACCTTACAATGATTCTGCTTGATTAGAAATGTTTCCTTGAGCTTGTTTGCTCACTCTCTGCTTTTTACATCATTTGCATTTCATGTTATCATTATTCCAAGCTGGGTTGTTAAATCGTTTTCCTTTTACTCCAGTCATTCTATTTCACATCTTGAAATAAACAGAAATGTGTCCTGTATTAAACAAACAAAACTTCAATTCATATCTCTCACAAAAAAAGGACCATGGAAAGAATCTTATACACCATCTAAAATGAACAGTCTTCCTTTTTACTTGATTAAATTTATCTATTTTCTCTGTCTAATTAATAGGTTAAGCATTTTTTGGTTCTTTGTTTAACTTGGTTGAACTTGAATAATTTTTCTATTTATAAACTATTTTTTATTACAATTAATTTTTTTTATTATGAGAGTTACTTTGTATGTCTCATGCTAGTAATACCTCTACATGTTTTGTTAATTTTATATATTTTTTTTTATTTTAAATGAATAGTTAACCTATTTTATGTTATGACTGGTTTTTCTTTCACTTTGTTTCTTCCCATTCCCAACATTGATTTATTGTTGAATTACAAAGGACTTTGAAAGATTACATTTAAGAAAAAGAAGAAAAAATCTTTGTTAATTTTAGGCATTGTTGAAATCTATCAGCTGGTCAACTTCATTTTAATTTTTTTTTTTTTTTTGACAAATCATATATATATAACTTCAAACACTATAATAGTAGCTACTCTGTATTTGATACAGACATCCCATTTTAATTTATTAAACAATGTATAACATCTATTGGTATGTGCATTTGAGAAATCTTCATAAAGAAAGTTGCATATTCACCAGCAGATATGAATTGTTTTATGGAAATAACCTACGTGAAGTTGTGCCCTTCTTTAAGAAGGGGGAAAAATAGAACTGTGCTTGCTGCGTCATTCTTCATGGCTGAGCAATAAAGTACATCAGATCAAATGGTAGTTCTTCTCTTACAAGGAAAGATGCTGATTCAATCCCTGCCGGGGAATGAATTTTTCTTAAATTCTTCAAATGCATAGGCCAATAGACGTAATATACAAAGTTTAATAAATACAAAAAAATGTGGTGTCTATTTCAAATACAGGTATCCACTATAATAACATTCAAAGTAATAAAATGTCAGATTAAAAATAAATTTATTAGCTCTTTAGAAAATATATATATATATATATATATATATATATATATATATATATATATATATATATACACACACACACACAGTGTGTACCACAAAATAAAACAATTTTAGATTTACTATATGATGAAAAACAAACTAACATAAAAAAAATTAACTTTTTAATTTGAACCCTACATTTAATTTGTGTTTTTGTTTCGTTTTAAGCTACTAAATTTCTTTCCTTTGATTTTGTTTCAAATAACGGTAACAAAAATCCCAACAATTAAGTAAACTGTACCAATTTTTTTTTTTTTGGTGGGGCAGTCAGTGTGTGTATGTGTGTGTATATATATATATATATATATATATATATATATATATATATATATATTTTTATTTTGAAATTCTTGCCTCTATTTTGTGTATTGCACTCTTTCTGCACAATTGCGATGCCAACTAGCTGCTGTCACAAATATCTGACAACATTCATGTATCATTACTGCACCAGTCACTGCACCTCTGGCATTAAGCCATTAGAATCTCCACCCTACGCTCTTTTTCCTAGATAAATAGCTGACTGGTAAGTGCCTCTAAGCCAAACACTTCTTACATTCTAGTTAGTTGTCTGCCTGACTTAAGAGCTTTGCTTAACTGTAAGTAATTTTAGTTTGAAAGTAGAAACGTTTTTGTTGTGCTTATGAAAATGATTAACTTTGCTATAATTTGAATTAAAAAAAAAAAAAAAAAAATTGTAATTGTATACTTGCCCCCCACCCTTTTTTTCCTGAGGGTGAAATTACAAGGTGCTATTGTTAATATATATTATTACATATTTCTAAAGCTTCTGTACTGTCATACTGTTCATTTATTTATTTATTGTAAAGGGTTTAATGGTTTATGAGAAGAATATTTGTAGCAACATAGAGCCTTGTGTGTTTTAAAATAAATAGTTCTCAGCATCATGAATTTAAGCATAGTACTAGATTGGCAGCTAGGTCTCTTCATTTTATTGTTGAAATGGCTAAATGTAACTCGTACTAAGCTAAGTTCTTCATAGCCCTGAGATACATTTTTATGGAGATATAAATATTCCAAGAATGGCAGGTGGGGAGCCTAAATGTGTTTTAGGGACAAAGAATTAATTATCAAAATTAATGTGTAAAAACTAAATTAACACTTTTAGTATGTGCTTAGGCCTCATTCTGACTCTAATTTCTGATTAAACCAAGTGAGTAGTTTTGGCATAATGTTTTGGTCAATTTATCTTGTCTGTTGACTTTAACTTTTCGCAGATGTGTTTTTATAGGCTTTTACTTTTAATATCTCTTCATTTCTCAGATTATTTGTTTTTTCCTTGCTGTTTTTTCAATGCAGATTTGTTTACCCCATAGAATGTTCAAATTCAGCTGTGAAGATTTAGATGAAAGGGAAAAATGTTGTTAGTGACCAGATGCTATGTATCTGGA